ATTGGGAAAAAAATCTCTTAATTTTAGGAATTTAGACAAATACATTCTATAAAAAATTATAAATTCAACAATATTTTTTTAAATAAATATTTCCAAAATCAATAGTTGTATAAAATTTGTTTTTATACTAAATTACACAGTAAAATCCTATCACTATTTCTATGGTTCCTTTTTTATGATATAATTATTAATATCTAAAAACGAGTATTTACATTTTTAACTGATTTCATTTTTAATATGTTAAAAATAATCCAGTTGATCATTATGAAAGTTTCTAATTTAAAAATATTTTAACTTTTACCTTTTTTGTAATTCTACGTGCAGGTTTTAAATTGATATCTTTATACAGAAAATTGTATGCAAATTTAAAAAATGGTTATGTTTAGATTGATATAAGGTAAGGAACTTATATAATTACTATTAACAGTTTACGGAAGAACCCAAAATTTCATTAAAATCAGTTATCTTATTTTTAGTATTTATATCGTAATAAATCATTTTATTAGAAGAAAAAGCGTGAAAGAAACATATTGATCGCACAGTTCAGCGCAATGAACATGGAAGATTCGTGGTACAATTGCCATTCAAAAGTAACGCAAGGCAATTGGGCAAATCATATGAAACGTCAAAAAGGCGATTTTTATCGTTGGATCGTCGTCCGCAAACAAATGCCGATATACGAGCAGAGTATTCAAAATTTATGAACGAGTACGAAAAGCTAGGACACATGGAACTTGTGACTGATGAGGAGTCAAAAGAAAAGGAGACTCATTGTCATTATTTATCTCGTCATGCCGTCATAAATAATAATAGCACAACCACAAAGCTTCGAGTCGTTTTGAAAACCGACTCGGGTCTTAGTCTGAATGACGTGTTATTAAAAGGGCCTGTTATACGAGACGATCTGCTATACATCCTGGCTCATTTTTAACAGGAACGTTTGAATTTTTGCAAAAAATTAGTATACCAAAAATATTAAAAAGTTATTGAAAAATGACTTTCTGTTGTTACAATTACTATAATATTTAAAATATACATAATATGTTTAAATTTTAATCGGATTATTATTTGCAAATTATACATAACGCATATACTTCAAGAATAAAATACCTGTTTTACATTTATGTATCTTACATATATGTATTCTTCACTACGACACATATAAATATATCATATTACATAATGAAAACAATTAAAATTATTCATCTTTCCTCTGATGTGGGGCAAGTTGGCATACTTTATTTTAATATAGTTTATGCTGAAAAATAAATCATAAAAAGTGATTTTTTTATCATAACCAACTCAATTAATTATTGAATAAATATAATTTTTTTTGAATTTCTTTAGTTACACATTGTTCTTGAATTATTAACTATGTAATACTTTTTTAGTTCATCCCTTATGCCTTATATGGGGCATCAACTTTGTTTTTTTAGTAGAAACACTTATTTTGAATTTAATGACATTGATATTCGCTGGTACACAACATTTATTATCATTGGTAATAAGGTTCATTATTGTGAGTTTATGAATACACTAACTGAAACTAACTAAACTCGGAGGACAATCCTGCTGATTTAATATCACGTGGCTGTACTCCAAACGAATTGCGAATTAACGCCATGTGGTGGAACGGTCCCCATTGGTTGAAGGAGGAGTACGAGAAATGGCCCAAGTCATGTGTACAATACAGTAATACGAACAATATACTAGAAGCCAAAAATACGGGCGAAACAACAATTACGACTGTCGCATGCGTAGCGCACGATAAATGTTATTCGTTGTTATCTAGAAGGCCGTCGTTATTATTTATCATCAGAGTGACGGCGTATTGTCTACGCTGCCGGTATAACATGAATCGAGCAGTAGGTGATAAAAATAACGGGCCGTTAACGGTAAACGAACTAGGGCAAATAAGACAATCATCAAAATAATTCAACGCGCACATTTTCGGCAAGAATTGAGAGAGTTAAATAGTGCAAATGCGAATGTGTCAAAAAAAAGTAAACTACTGCGTCTTAGTGCAAATATTGATGGGAATAATATTATACGCGTCGGAGGACGTTTATAATACGCTATGGCGTTAAATGACAACCAGAGACATCAAATTGTATTGCCGGATAATTGTCTTTACACAAAATTATTATTCCGTAAAGAACACATGGATTTGATGCACAGTGGACCTCAAGCCTTGGTGGCCTCTATTAGGCAGCGCTACTGGCCTTTAAAAACGCGAAGTTTGGCTCGTACTATAGTACACAATTGCGTTAAATGTTTTAAATTGAAACCTCAAATAGTACAACCGATCATGGGGAGTCTGCCTGGTTCACGGGTACAGAGTGGAAGAGCATTTGTCATATGTGGTGTAGATTTTGCGGGTCCAGTCATGATAAGAACGAGCTTGCGTCGTAAGGCACCATGTAACAAAGGATACATCAGCATATTTGTATGTTTCGCGACAAAGGCGATACATATCGAACTCGTGAGTGATTTGTCAACGAAAACATTTTTACAGGCGTTGAACAGATTTTTTGATCGACGTGGCAAAAGTTCAATAATTTACAGTGATAACGCCCGAAATTTTGTGGGCATGCGTCGGCATTTAAAGGAGGTGTACGCACTTTTCCAGTCCCCAGAACATCAGCGATCCGTTTTCTCTCATCTAGCCGACAAAGGAATTGAATGGCGATTTATACCACCCCGTGCACCACATTTCGGTGGACTTTGGGAGGCTGCGGTCAAAAGTATGAAAAGTTTGTTATATCGCGTTTTAGGAGAAGCTCGGCTCACGTACGAAGAATTATTAACTGTACTAACGAGAGTGGAAGCTGTACTTAACTCGCGACCAATAACTCCAGTATCCTCTGATCCGGCTGATCTAACCTATCTCACAACAGGTCTTTTTTTATTGGCGATATAATGACTTCCATACTGGAAAAGGACGAGACGACCACGCCTATTACTCACTTAAATAGGTGGAGAATAGTCTCTCATTACACCCAAGTACTTTGGAAACGGTGGCACCAAGAGTACTTATCTCAACTATAGGAAAGAACCAAATGGTCCAGCACGAAAGGGCCTAAGTTACAAATTGGAACTATTGTGTTGGTAAAAGAGACAAATTTACCACCACTCAAATGGCAAGTTGGGCGTGTAATGGAATTATACTGTGACGATGACAACGTGGCACGATCAGCAAAGGTCCGTACTAACGTCGGCGAGTTTTCACGAGCGGTCAGGTTATTATGTCCGTTACCTTTTGAAGGCAACAGTTTGTAGCCAGTTTGTAATTTATTTAAATTTCTTATAATTCGTAGTTATTGTAATATATATGTGTAATATCCCATGTGGGATTAATCATAATTTTTCCATAATGAATTTGTTTCTAATGATTATTTGTATATTAATTTTTTTTTTTGTATTTATGTATTACCTTTTACGTTTTTAGTTGTTGCGAAATTTGTTCCTAGATTATAGTTGTTTTTGTTAT